GACGGAAGGGGTTCTTGGAATTGAGAGCAAAGAAGTCAGAGACCAAAGGATTGCTAAATCGCTTGTTCTATAGCCCAGTTCGTTGCAGCTGGGGTAAGGCTTTGAAGAAAAGCAAGATCGCAGCATTCAGCGCACAGAAAATGTGCCAGGACCCCCCAAGAATCAAGAGTTGCTTTTGAACTTTATGGCAAAACATTTCTATCTTCTTTCTCTTTCTTATATGTATCTGAAGGAAAGAAATCTTTGGCTAGAATAGAAAGTATTTTAAGTGCCTATAATCACCTATTTAATTAAAAGTTTCTCTATTAATGTGATCTGGCATTGATTTGAAAATATAATTGATGGTCTTTTCCTCTAAAGTGTAAACTAATGGGGATTTACTAAAAGATTACCAGTCATCAGGCTTTTCTTTATGTTCTAAATGAGCCCCCATGTAGTAAGATGACCTCTGTGCTATGTGCTAGATACTCTGTGAGATGTTTTATGTGCATTATGTCATTTAATCCTTACAAAAGTCCTGTGAGGAAGTTAATGCTGTTATGCCCATTCGGTAAGTATGGAAACTAAGAGAGATGGAGTGAATGGCCAAGTTCATACAGCTAGTAAGCAGTAAAGCTGGGTCAAACCCAGATAGACAGCTCTAGAGCTTAAATTCTTAACCACTGGACCCACCAGAAGTTTACTTGAGTCAAATCGCTACAGTTTCATAAAGGGATGTAACATTCAACCTGTGGGCTGTTTACTTGAGTCAGATTGCTACAGTTTCATAAAGTAAAGTGAAAGTGGTTCCGTCCTGTCCAGCTGTTTGTGACCCCTTGGACTGTATAGTCCATGAAATTTTCCAGGCCAGAATACTAGAGTGGGTAGCCTTTCCCTTCTCCAGGGGTCTTTCCAACCCAGGGATCGAACCCCGGTCTCCTGCACAGTTTCATAAGGGGATTTAAAATTCACCCAGTGTCTTTGCCCCCCTTTACATGTCTTTAGGAGATGCACAGCTTTCCTGCAGGCTCGGCACACAGGTGGAGAGCAGAGCATGAGCAAAGGGAAGCATGTGGGAAAGTCTGGGAAACTGCAGGTTGACGCATAGAGTGAGGATCAGTGGCGACTAGTGAGGATGGGGAAGTTGTGGAAGGAAAAGGTAGGATTTTGATCAATGGACTGAGGAGCTTAGAATCCATCCTGTGGTTGGTGAGGTCTAGTGAAAGGTCTTGAAATAATGCAGTTGAGTTGGTCGGCGGCGGGGGGGGGGGGGGGGGGGGGGGTGTTACCATGAAGGGAGGGAAAAGAAAAGGACGAGGCCCTCGTTGGGCAGAAAGAGGAAGGAAAGCTAGCAGAAAGCAGAGGAGAGGCTTGGATGGTCGTGTGACGCGATGCCTGCAGTCAAGGGACAGGGGTGTTATTGGGAGTGGAGAGCAGAGGAGCCAGAGGCCAAATTACAGGGAGGGCAGGTCCCAGGGGAAGCAGACCCCGGCGGGCTTGTGAGCTGGTTGTTTGTTCCTGCTGTTAGAGGAGGGTCCCCGAGAGACCGAGTGAGTGATGATGAGTCACTGATAGAACCTGGGGGGATTTCTGGTCAGTTGGGTTTGACAGATTTATCAGCAGAAGTCAAGTTGAAACTAGAAGGAATATTCCCTGAGTGAGGGGGGTTGGGGGCGGGGACAAAAGCAAACAGTGATTTGCCAACAAGGATTTCATCACCTCGGTAGAGAGCTAAGATCCTGCACATGACCCAGTCGTAATGCAGTGATTATAAACAATTTATTAATGAAGTAGTTTTTCAAAGAGTATCATGTTATGTGTTTCAGTTTTTTTAGGGTACTTGCTGTGAATTTCGTGTCCCATTTGTTCCTTGTGTTGATAGAGTGCCTTTTGCTGACGGTTTGCCAACAGTCTTACTCTGCAGCGGGGCTGGACTTTCACTCTTCTGTTGTAGTTTGTAACTCCTCTGTTCCTTTTCCTCATAGTTTATAGAGAGCCAGACGAGCATCTGTACCTACGGTCAGGTTACCATCCTGAATTTGCGTACCTTTTGAAGTTTTTATTGTAAAACAAAACCTCCTGGTTTAGAGTCCGGAGAGCACAGGGTATCTGGTCCCCCCCGCCCCGAAAGCTGTGGAGGAAGGATTCTCTTAACTGCGGAGTGACTGGCCGGCCCTCAGCACGACAGCCTTTTCCAGTCTCCACTAGAGTGACTTGAGAGGAGCTCCTTGTCAGCCGTGTGTTTGAGAAATTGACGGTCATACAGATGAACTTTCTGCTATTAATATTTGATGTTGAGCAAAATCATTAGTAATGACATCTTTTTTTCTTGAAGTTAGAAGAGATATTAGAATGCAATCACATTTCCTCTTGTAAAACGTGTCCTCTGTTGTTGACGCTTCTGGTAGGTGGCTGGCAGTTATCCCCCCATATGTCAATTGGTGAAGAGCAAGAAAAAACCCAATCACGGAGGCATTCTAAAACATTAGAGAGGCATATGAGGCCGTTTGGGTAATTTTCTTGCAAACCTTTCTCTGTCTCTAATACCAGGTTTGTTTCATTTTGTTTTGTTTCTGTGAGGAGGAAGACTTTGCTATTCCATGTCCTTGAATTAATAGATTTCAGCATTGAAAAAAAATTTTTAAGGCACTATTTGTTTTCCCTAAATTTATCTACAAATTTAAAGTTCAAATGAAATCAGATTTTTTAAGCTTGACATGTTGTTTAGTCATTAAGTTGTGTCCGACTTTTTTGCAACCCCACAGGCTTGTAGCCCACCAGATTCCTCTGTCCATGGGATTCTCCAGGCAAGGATACTGGAGTGGATTGCCACTTCCTTCTCCAGGGGATCTTCCTGACCCAGGGATCAAACCTGCATCTCCTGTATTGTTGGGTGGATCCTTTACCACTGACATGCTTATCCTAAAACTGAAGGTTGTTTTAGTTTTAAAAACAGAAAACTGATGCTGAAGTTCACTGTAAAAAATAATAAAAGATGTTATGGTAAAGTACAAAGTTTACCATATGGTATTTTTTCTAGTGGGCTCCAAAGTAGTTTGGTACTAGAGGAATACATTATTAGGAAAGAGTCCCAGAAATAGTCCCAAGTCCAGGGTATGTTAAAGGTGAATTTCAAATCAGTGAGGGGAGAATGGATTATTCACTAAATGATGTTAGGGCAGCAGACTGACTACAGGAAAAAATTAAGCTGGATTCCTATATTATTTCTTATACTGAAGTCAATTCCATGCAGGCTGAAGATTTAAAATTTAAAAATCTAGGATGATAAAAAAAAATCTAGGATGAACCTAGAGCCCATTAGAGTGAAATAAGTCAGAAAGAGAAAAACAAATGTCGTATATTAATGCATATGTATGTACTCTAGGAAAATGGTACTGATGAGCCAATTTGCAGGGCAGCAGTGGAGACACAGACATAGAGAACAGATTTGTGGACTTAATGGGGGAAGGAGGGGTGGGAAGGAAGCAGAGAGTGGCATGGAAACTACCATATGTAAAATAGATCGCCAGTGGGAATTTGCCATATGACTCAGAGCTCAAACTGGGGCTCTGGGACAACCTAGAGAGGTGGGAAAAGAGGCGGAAAGAGGTTCGAGAGGGAGGGGACATGTGTATACCTGTGGCTGATTCATATTGATGTGTGGCAGAAGCCAACACAATGTTGTAAAGCAGTTATCCTTCAATTAAAAGTAAATAAATTTTTTTAAAAATTAAGGAAACAAAAAACCGTGGTTGCCTCCTGTTACTCTTACTGCAGTATTCCTTGAAATAGGGTGTCATGTATTGCCTATTTGAAAATTTTGTTTATAACATTAATAAGCTATAAAATTATGCAAAAGAATAATGGGAGAACATATTTTAAAAATAACTTGGCATGGTAGCCCCATTTTATGCAAGATGCCACCGCTTGGCATGTAGTAGGAGTGTAGGAATGTAACCATACGATCTCTTTCTAAAGCACTTTGACAAAATCTTATCAATTTTATTAATGCACACTTTCATTAGCCCAGTAATTTTTCTTCCAGGAATGTCACATAGATCTATTGGACATGTGAGGAAAGATGTATAAGGATGTACACTGCAGCGTTATTAACAGTAGCAAAACAAACTGCAGACAAGTGAGCATCAGCAAGTGCTCTTTGGATGATGGGAGGCAAATACAAAGGAATTCTGTGGAGTCGTGTAAAAGAATGTCATCATCCACGTGCTGATGTGGTAATAACCTAGGAGAATGTTTCAGGCTATTGAATGGAAAAACAAAAGAGAAGTGCTGAGCAGAAAGTGTAATTGGGGCTCACTTAGAACATGTTTAAAGAATCTCTCTGCATGGCGTGTGTGAGTAAGTATGTACAAAGGACTTTGTTAGGAGTCGTCGTCTCTGAGAATGATTGGCATCTTAAGGTGGTAGGAATGCTTTTATATTTCATATCCTTTTATTCTTTTGATTTTTTAATTTTAACTGAGAACATAATACCTTTTGAAATAAAAATTTAAACAGTTAAAAATACAACTGATTACTATCAAGCAGCTAAGGTCGATAAAGCATATTATTAGCATATATAATCTCAAAAACAATATTAAGTGGGAAAAAAAGCTTGCAAAGAGATACAGACAGCACTGTGTTGTTCAGGTCAGCTTTGAAAATAGAAAATAGTTGTTATTTATGAATATGTCACATATTCTGTTACACAGTGGGAATGTCAGAACATGCATGAGAGCGAGAGCAGGTTCAGAAAAGCCGTTACTTGGGGGAAGGGGAAAAAAGAGTTTCTCTGCTAACAGTTCTCAAGTTCCTCAGCAAACACGGCAAATTGCTACCAGTAAAATTCGATTGATGCTGCTTTTTGTGCTTGCCTACATGTTTCTAAAATTTTATTTTTTTAATTATTTTACATTTCTATCAGTTTTTTTCAGCACCACTATTCAATTGCTTCCTACTGAATTGAGTAGTGCTTTCTAGAAGTCACAAATACCCTCTCCTTTTTTTACCCCTGACAACAGGTCAGCAGTGGCAGTGACCCCTGGTCAGCCTGGAATGCTTCCAAACCTACAAACTGGGAAACCTCGGACAGCTGGGGAGCCAAGCCAGAGGGGGCCGCAGCCCAGAGAAGCGCTGCCAACAACTGGGACTCGGCCTTCGGTCATCCCCAGGCCTACCAAGGACCAGGTGAGGGAGGGGCCGCCCTTAGAGGGCATCCGAGCCGAGGCGGGTTTAATCACAGCAAGTGTGGTCTCGCTCACTCATGGCAAACTTTGCGTTCTGAATCTGAATGAGGAAGGTTTTCATTATACTCTTTAGTCCACTCTCGGTTCCCTGTCCAGGAGAACCCTGTCACACATGCAAACGCTTGCAGGGACCAGGTTCAGAAAGTGAGACAACAGAGCAAGCCCGGGGCTGCAGGGGACGGAGGTGGGCAGGGGTTGACGCTGCCACAGGAGGGCTGAGCGGGTGCTCCCGGACCACCGCAGCTCCAGAGAGGCTGGAAGTCTCCGTCTTTATGTCATCTCCCCACTTTAAAATCCTCGCTACTAACACACATTTGCTTTTAAATCTTGGGCCACAAAAATGTGCACACGGTTTGACTGCGGTTTATCACCTGTTGGTGTATGACCTCTGACGTGGCTGTTCTGTCGTTTCCTGAACTACCTGTTTGACTTCCGGGTACTTCGTGGAAACACTGAAGCAAAGGAAGACTTTCTGAAAGGAGAAACAGTTCAGGAATTAAGAAAGGTTATTTATGTCTGTTCTGAAATTAAGAGACCCGCCCATTATTTTTTAATGACCCCTGTCTGAGCGCATTGTGCCCAGAACTGAGTGTGCTGACTGGAGAGACGTGGGTCAGGAGCCTGCAGGGGCGCAGGTGCTGCTTCCTGGCTCCCACTCGTGGGGCCGGCACTGGGCTGCCGGCCGGCCCTGGAGTCGGGGGCTGGGTCCAGACCAGACTGCTGACATCACTCCTGCAGTGACTTGGCGTCGCTCCAGGAATCCTAGCCCAGATCCTTCTGATACTTTCTAGTCTTTTCTTTTTCCTTTTGACATTTGTCTCTGGGCTTCTCATGGTAGCGCACTCAGGGAGGAGATCCCAGGGCACTTTCCTGCCTGATGCTAAGGGGACACCTCAGGCCTCCAGAGGTGGGAGATGGAGGCACAGAACAGTGGCGGAGGGCGTGCAGGAGGAAAGCTGGCAGCACCCCATCTGACAGGGAGAGGATTATTAGAATGGTGGGCTGCCAGCGCTGGTTTAGTCGCTACTTGTCTCTTGTTTCTTTCTCTTTCTTCTCCATCCCTTTGTCCTTCTCTGGCCTGCGTTATTATTCAGTTGAGTTCAGTTCAGTTCAGCCGCTCAGTCGTGTCTGACTCTTTGTGACCCCATGAATCACAGTGCACCAGGCCTCCCTGTCCATCACCAACTCCTGGAGTTTACTCAGATTCATGCCCATCGAGTCGGTGATGCCATCCAGCCATCTCATCCTCTGTCATCCCCTTCTCCTCCTGCCCCCAATCCCTCCCAGCATCAGGGTCTTTTCCATTGAGTCAACTCTTCGCATGAGGTGGCCAAAGTATTGGAGTTTCAGCTTCAGCATCAGTCCTTCCAATGAACACCCAGGACTGATCTCCTTTAGGATGGACTGGTTGGATCTCCTTGCAGTCCATTATTATTAGTGTTACACAGTTCCTTTTCAAAGATCTGTCACCCTTTTTTCCTCTCCCGTCTCTTGGCTTAAAGGGTATTTGACCTGTTTATTTGCAAATTGCTAAAGCTAGATTTATCAATGTATAGATGGCCCAGTGTAAAGAATCCACCTGCCAATGCAGGAAATACAGGAAACATGGATTAGATACCTGGGTTGGGAAGATTCCCTGGAGAAGGGAAGGGCTACCCACTCCAGTATTCTTGCCTGGAGAATCCCATGGACAGAGGAGCTTGGTGGGCTACAGTCCATGGGGTTGCAGAGAGCCAGACACGACTGAGCGCAGGACAGCAGAGCCAGCCTCTGGAAGATCTTCCCTGCACACCACTGAGGTTTTGCTTGGTATCTTTTGGCCACACCACGTGGCAAGTGGGATCTTCATTCCCTGACCAGGGATTGAACCCGGGCCCCCTGCACGGAATCTTAACCACTGGACCACCAGTGAAGGCCCTCCAGAGTGTTTTTATTGTTGACATTTATCTGAAGTTACTTGGACCAACAGCCCTCTTTAAGTTGTTTCTAACTTGTCTTTTGTGCTGAAAGGCAGAATCCTCAAGGCTCACAACTGTAACTCACAAGCATAACAACAGAGCCTGTACTCTTTGCATCTTTATTGTAATCCTGACCATGTACCCTTTCCTTCTTCTTTAAAAAATTGGTCGGTAGCTGTTACCAGAAAATTAAGTCACCCCGTCTTTATTTGGTCTCTCTTCACCGACAATCTTCTGTTCTCACCCCCAGCAACTGGTGATGACGATGACTGGGACGAAGACTGGGACGAGCCCAAGTCATCTCCCTACTTCAAAGATTCAGAATCTGCAGAAGCAGGAGGTGCTCAGCGAGGAAACAGCCGGGCCAGCAGCTCTTCCATGAAGCTGCCACTTAACAAGTAGGTGTAAGAGCTGGGGGAACGAGGGCTCTCGTATGAGAGGCTGTGATGAGACAGAGAGGCTGTTTCTCTTCCCAGTGATCACGAAGTTTGGGGCGTGATTTGATCGTGTCTATTTTTTTATTTGGCTCTTAGCTTGGAAGCTTTTTTTTTCATTTTAAAGTGAAATATATGTTCCATTTAATGATCTGCCAAAGACTGTTTTTTACCTTTATCAACTCATGACATATTGTTTTGTTGCTGATGTCACAGGAAAGCTAAAAAGAATAATGATGACTTTCTTTTAAACGTTTTACCGTGTGTTGATCTTTTACCATGGCCAGGCTTTGTGCGGAGCAGCTTGTGTGTTTTCTCTCATGGTGCTCTCACGTCCCTTTGTGGTACATGTGATCTCTTTTACTCTCGGAGAAACTGAACCCCAGAGAGAGGTTAATTAACTGCCCGCGTTCACAAGGTGGGAAGTGATCTAGTTGGGATTCCAGTCCAGCCCTTCAGCCGCCTGAGCACACTCAGCGACTGTGCCTAATGTGTGTAACACTTTGTTTTCACTTAGATTAGATTATCCTTGTTTTTTTGTTTTTTTTTAAGTGTTTGAGCAGTACTTGTAGAAACACTGCTTAGCAGGAAAGCTTGGGGGAAAAGATGAACATGGACACAGAATGAAGGAAAGGATACAGGCCCCTGTGAGCATCACATTGGCCTTTAGCTTGGTTTAGGAATTAAATCAGATGTAATACAGCTGGTTTTTATAGAAATAAGATTTCCTATTTTAGGTGTTTTGCTTTCTGAGCATTTTTACCCCCTGTTTATTTAAAAAAAAAAACAATTCTGAAACTTGTCTTCTTTAGAAGTTGCACTTTGGGTGGGTATACATTGATTCCACCTTTTCTTCCATTTTAGAATTTTGCTTTGGGTGTAGACTTAATTTCTGGAAATAGCCAAGTTTATTATGTTTGAGGTCTCTTGAGAAGACAGGTTCCGAAGACAATTTCCAAAGAAAATGGCACAAGTACTTATGAACAGTGGGAGTTTCTTTGGGGTAATTGGGCCTCCCGAGGGAGAATGTGGAAAAGCAGCTTTAATTTGGGTGTAAAATGCTAGCGTGTGGCCTTCGCCCCATGGAGTCATCTCAAATTGTTATGCTCAGTGCTTTCTTTCTACCTCTGTACCTGGGGGACATTTTCTAGTCTGCCCTTTGGTCTTCGTGTGGTGATAGAGTGTCTCAGATCAAGCAAATCGAGTACCCGTAAATATCACACCTTCTGGAGTCAAACTGTCCTCTTACCAGATAAAGCTTAATTAAATGACTAATTGGCTGTTGAACAATCTGATTACTTCAGATTTCATTTACCTTAGTTTCCTACTTCCAGTACATCTGAAAGACAGAGCAAGTTCAAACTGTTGCATTAAGTAAATGTGGATGAGAGCTATAGAATTTTTACAAAGAAAAGGATAAGACTCACGAGCATTTGTCCTCATGATTAGATTTCCTGGATTTGCAAAACCTGGGATGGAACAGTATTTGTTGGCCAAGCAACTGGCAAAACCCAAAGAGAAAATTCCTATCATTGTAAGTTTGTTTATTTTTTATTTTTTGCTTTGTTTCTAATTAAGCTCTTGTACAGTATCTTAAAGAAAGTTATTAGTCATTTAGAAAGTATTCTTAAACACATTTAATCTCCAAGTAAGTAACTGACAGTATATTAAGAGTATAAAAAATAGCATAAATTAATGCCCGTTATTGTCTAGGCATTCTTTATTTTTACCTTTTCAGACTACCAGTAATTGAACAAATGCCCAGAGTATATATGTGCTTTTTATAATATTTATTTTTCTGAAGTGTCTTGAAGTTACCTTTTACATGCTGTTTTTCTCCTAGCCAAACATATTTAGCTAATAAACTCAATTCAAATATTTAGGTTTCTACCTTGGCAGAGTACATGCATGTTATCAGAATAAGTTCCCTTTTCCTCTGTGTTGGTAATAGTTTTCTTTCACTAAATCAGTCGTCCAGTTCATTGTAAGGAGCTAGCAAATGAAAGCTGGCAGTTAGTGACACCATTCAGAATATCCATCTTTGAATGGCTTGCTCATAGGATGATACGGCTCCGTGGTTTCACCCAAATGTTAACTGTGGATAGATTTTCTAAGTGTTACCTAGCTGTATATTTCCAGATAAAATTTTGGAAAAGAACTGTAGCTGTCTTCTGACCCTGATGATTTAATCATGCAACTGTAAGTTGGGAGTAGGGCAGGAGCGCAAGGCGCCTTGAGTTTAATCACCATGGAGTCAAATAAGGAAGAAATATCTAGTCTTACTCTATAATCTTTGGGTCTTAGGAAACTCAATAGTAATGCAAGAATGACACTGTATTTTTTGTATTACTTGTTCCTACTTCTTTGGAATGCTTGAAATCCTGAAAACTCTAGAGAAGGGCTGTGACTGGAGCCCTTTTATCCTTCTTCTCTGAAAGCACACTTGGGGTGATTATCTTTTGAATAGTTAGGTTAAAGATTTTTTTTTTCTTCAGACGTTTTTGTAAATACTGAACATGTATCCTGTTTTTTTTCATTAAATTTAAAACTCCGCAGAATCAAGAGCCCATGGCCACCCTGCCCCTCAGATTCTCGTACGCATGAGACTTTGTCGTAAGCATGAGAGTGTTGGAACAGAGCTCCAGGACCCCTGCATATGAGTTGTCTCACGCATTTTAGGCAGGCCTGCCTGTGTGGGCTTCTTGTGTGGAAAAGGAAGTGAGGAAAGCCATAGAGGCCTCAGAAAGCCAAGAAAAAGCAAAGACCTGGTCCTTTGGTTTCAAGGTGCAGCATCCTGACCCACTGGTAAAATATGACCTCATGGATGTTGGGCCCTGATTGGTCAGAGTCTCCTCTCTTGGGCCCCATCACTGAGGGAAGTTCCCCAAAGCTCCTCTCAGAGGTGCCTGCCCTGCAACTTCAGGAGGGTTTTCTGGATCTGGGTGCCTCTTGGAGAATCATAATATTAATTGCTTGTTGTCTGAGACCTTTAGTCCCTCATTAAAGCTCTATAGGCTCCAGTCACCATCCTGACCTAGTAGCCTCTGAACTTTCATACCTCACCTCACTTTTTCCTTCTTTCACCTTGAAAAAGAATTAGGGCATACAGAAGTTGAGAGTAAGTGTTGAGGAAGTTTGATGGCAGTTTGGCATTGCTGAGATAGCCAAGTGCATCATTTTATATTTCACAGAACTATTAGTCTGCAGTAGATTTGAAACTTTTAAAAGCTAGCCCTTCATTACACATAACTGGGACAGCTGGACTGGAGAGAGATTGTATCCCACCCAGCATCCTCTCGAGGAAAGGCAGCTCGGCCCCTCTCCATGGCCTGAGATGCCCACACGGGAGCAGAAGGGCCTCTCGATTAAGTGTGTTCTTCAAATAGAACCTTAGTAAGAACAGAGAGCATTTATGTAAACAACTTCTCAAAGAAGAGCAAGAATGACTCTCCTAAGGACTTCTAGTCCTTGAAAGAATCATTTGGTTGATTTATATCAATTGTGTTAACTGATTTTCCATGTAACAAAATTGCCTCTCCCTGCAATGTGTAGGTTGGAGATTATGGCCCGATGTGGGTTTACCCTACCTCTACGTTTGACTGTGTGGTAGCAGACCCCAGGAAAGGATCCAAAATGTACGGTCTGAAGAGCTACATTGAGTATCAGTTAACCCCTACTGTAAGTATTCAAGTTATCAAAACAGAACCATGCTTACATCACTAGGAACGGCTTGCTTTTTTCTTCATTTTCTGTAGTTGATACTGGTAACTTTTTTTCTCTTTCCTTCTCTTGTAGAACACTAATCGATCAGTAAACCACAGGTATAAACACTTTGACTGGTTATATGAGCGTCTACTGGTTAAGTTTGGGTCAGCCATTCCAATCCCTTCTCTTCCAGACAAGCAAGTCACAGGTGAGTGTGTTTGTGACAGAACTCAAGACAAGTGAAAAGACTCCAGTTAGAGTATTCTAACGCAAATCAGAAATGGCACTTTCCATCCTCTAGTGGAACAAGATGTGGAAGTCTGGAAACAGCAGCTAACTGCAGCCATAAATATACACACACACACACACACACACACATAGTTCACACACATACACACACATATATAGTTCATATATTTGGAAGTTACCTAACACCTAACAAAAAGGTTTCATAAAATTTTCTGTCAGGAGTTCCTATGTACATATGTGTCTTGAGTTCTGATGAAGTCACTGTGTCTTTAATGCTAACCCTTTCCTATAAAAGAAATATAAGCCTTTTTTGTGTGTGAAAAATGATACCTGGGAAAAACAGGAATGATTCTGATAGTCTAAGGTAGAAATTAAACTATATGACCCAAATAACGTGAATGCATCGCACAGTCCAGCTGCGTCATTTTCATTGGTGGTGCTGTGCTCAGCCCTGTTGGACTCTTTGGAACCCCGTGGACTGTAGCCCGCCAGGCTCCCTTGTCCATGGGATTTCCCAGGCAAGAATACTGGAGCAGATGACCATTTTCTCCTCCAGGGGATCTTCCCAACCCAGGGGTCAAACCCACATCTCTTGCATCATCTGCATTGGCAGACAGGTTCTTTTAACACCGCACTACCTGGGAAGCCCCGTCATCTTCATCACAAGTCTGTTAACACCAGATGTAGGCGCCGCAGAGTTTCTAAGTGCTAATGTAGGAAGTTACCAAGTTTTCTTCTCAGTTATTTTGGTGACTACTGATATTTAAATACTTTTATTTATCATTGATAATCACCCTCTCCCTTTTCTTATTTATTTAAATGTCATTTTCCCCCCATCCCCACCCCCAAGTAATCTTCTAGTAAATAATCCACAATGCTACCAGAGCCCCTTGTAAATGTGCTGTCGGAGGGTATTTTTCCTGTGTCTGTTTTGAGAACAATCTGATTTTTTTTTTAACCCTTTCACCTGATCTAGAAACTGGAATGTTAGTACTCAGGAGTCCGTGTGTTTGTCTTGGAGTAGAAGTTTGTAAAGAAGCTGAACTTCATGTAGACATTAGAGTCTCCGTGTATAGCTAGAAAATATTGCAATACATGAAACTCTTAAGTAGAGAGAGAGAGAAGGATCAAAGACGAGAGTAAGACTTGAAATCTGGAAGCTGGAACGGTGCAGGAGGAACGGACAGGCTCACCTGGGCCCATGAGGCGCGTGGAGGGGGAGCAGGGTCCCAGAGGCCTGGGGGGCTGGAGAGGATTGGGTCCTCACTCAGCAGGATTGAGCTAAAGACGAGAGACGGGCTGAGGGCTCACACCCGCCCAGGGCAGAGCCCGCTCGTGTGGCCCAGCCTGCAGGGGCGTTGGTCCCGACGTGCCAGGCGTTACGTGTGCCCTGGCCCCTCACGCACAGGCGCTGTCAGCTCAGACACATGGCAGGTGCCACTCAGAGGTGTTGAGAAGAGACGTGATGTGATTCCAGAGCTCACTCCGTGAGACGTGGACTAACTCATCCTCAGCTAGAACCAGTGGCCTTAGGAGAAGGAAGTTATTCTCCTTAAAACGTGGCTTTTTGCTTTGCTTTGTTCAATGTGTATGCTTCTCTGAAATTTTTTGAAGAGATGGAAACCATTTCTAAAGAAATTTTTTTTATTTGGGGGGAAAATCTTCTCAAAAATTTCACATTGACCTAACAGAACTGAGGAGTGGGCCTGCACGGCCCTCCGGGGGGCGACACCCAGGCAGCCCCTCGAGTCGCCAGGGTGGCAGGTTGGATGTGTGGTTACTTCCTCCCGCTCGGACGTGTCGCCCACCCCAGTCCTCACCCACTGCGTATCCTCACTGTCCCTCCTTTCTGTCATCCATATTGTTTTAATCGCAGCTTTCTAAAAATTTAGATTTCTTTCCATGAAAACTTGAGTTCTGACTTTCTCTCCATCTTCAGGTTTGAATTTTAAACTCTCCTTTATCAACTTGGTTAGCATAATATGTTCTCCATGGTGTTGAAATAAATGGATTCATGAGCTATCTTAGAGTTATGGGGGTTTCTCTTTTTTTCAGTTTTAATACACGGTTTATTCAGAATCAGATAACCCATGGCGTAGCCTAAAGCATCATGGAGTCATGGTTCTCCCATAGTAAGGATTTTTTTTTTGGGCGGGGGGAGGTCAGGCCTGAAGCCAGGGGATGTCAGAGAAAAGCACAGAAGCAACAGCCCCTCAGTCTGAAGAAAGTTGGGCTTTGATTCCCTAACTGGGCCGCGTGCCGAGGAAACTAGAAGGCACAGAAGCCATTCTATTTCCCCCTTCTCTCGTCTGCGTCCTGCCTGAGATGCCCACAGCATCATAATTTTATAAACTCCCTTCCCTTAAATCCTGGAGAAAAGAAAAAGGAATACCAAGTAGATGATGTCATGACATTTCTGTGGACTTGATAATCCGTCCAGGAAAAGCTTAGAGCTAAGATTTTTCTAATTTGTTTATGGATTTTATTTTTTATGGAATAACATTGAATGAATCTGGTTTTATTTCTGGAGGCCAAACTGGTATATTAACATTATTCATGAAAACCTAGGTCAGGGTCATAGGAAATGGGCAGGTGGAAATCCCTCCTGTCCTTTTTCTTAGTTTTCTGGAACCTGATAAGAATATCCTCACAAGAACAAGATAATAGCTGAAGTCACAGTTTGTAAATAGACCAGCTGTGTCAGAAAAAAATGTTAAGAGAAATAAGAATGACTATTTAATTCCAACCAATGAGTAGTTTATAAACTCTTGTATAGTTGACTTGCTCATAACGCGGAATTCAGTATAGCCCTTAGGTCTGTGCTGACTTCCAGGGTCTCTTCTGCTTGTGAGGTGGGTCATCGTCTGCACTGTGTACAAGTTTCTGCAGTACTTATTAATCTCTGCTCCTAGTACGGGCAGAATTTGAAGTGTTTTAATATACAGGAGGGGGGTCTAGTTTTGTAGTCTGCAGTTTAACATCTAGGTCTAGGGTTTATTTTGAGTTAAGGTTTGTATCAAGTGTGAGGTGGTGGAGGTTTATGTTATAAATCTGGTCGTCTAGTGGTTCTCGGACTATCTATTGAAGAGAGTATCCTTTCTCTGTTGAGTTTCCTTTGCGTTTTTGTCAAAAAATCAATTGAGCATATTTGTGCAGGTTTATTTCTGGATTCTGTTCAGTCCCATTGATTTATGTGTCCATCCTTTTGCCAATACCACACCATCTTGGTTATTGTAGCCTTATAGAAAGTCTTGAAGTCAGGTATATAAATCCTCCAACTTGGTTCCGTTGCAAAATTGTTTTTAGCTATTCTTTTTCTTTTGCCTTTTCATGTAAATTTAAGAGTCAGCATGATTCTTCTATAGTCAGATACCTATCAACAATCATGCTAAGGTTTTTATTGGAATTGCATTAATTCTGTAGACCAATTTTCTGAGAACTTGAATCTCTCTTTTTTTTTTTCCACTGTCACCAACAGCACTGTGCAGTTTTATTAACCGTTCAAGTACAATAGCGTCTGTAAGATTGGGACAGAATTGGGATTTAAAAGTGAACAGATATCCAGTATCTAACAGTTTGAAAGAAGCCACTACGTACTCTTTGCACAGACATGTTTTCACGGAGCCAATACGGTGCTAGCCATTAACCCAGCACACCATACCGAGGTAGAAAATATGCAACGAGAAACATAGCTACATTAGAAAGACGTCAACACTTAAGAAAAGGAGTAAAACACTTTTCGTTTCTCCCCCCTTCATCCCCTAAAACAACATCATACCGTCTGGATCTACCTATACAGTCCTACATCAGCTTGTAGAATATATTTGTCAGGAGGGCAAAAGTAAAGTGACACTGGCCAGTACAGCCTTTGGATGTTTAGGAAGGGGAGGGGGAGAAAGTCAGTTCTCAGAACAAATGAGTCTCGTTAGCAGGCTCTTTGGACCCTTTGTTCTTCCGCGCTTCGTGCTGGCCCTTCTCTCGCAAACGCTCCGGTTTGGCAGCCGCTTGCCCCTCTCGGTTCTCTTTGCTGGCTCCCGTCTTCCGGGTCAGCTTCTCTTCCGCCATCATCCTGACGTCGTTCTCCTCTGTCGCTTTCTGAAGCACTTCTTTCTCGTGCTCTCTTTTCTCAGAGAGCTGCTTCAGGACCTCGGCTTCATGGGACTTGCATCTTTCTTCTGCAGCTCCTAATCTCTTCTGAATTTCTTCTAGGGAAAGAGCCTTCTTCTTAGGAGGGGCAAGGGGACTTCCTAGGACACATTCTTTTGGTCAAAGGCTGAGAATCAGCTCAAAAGCCTGGCCTGAGGCACGCTTCTCTAGTTCCTGCACCTCGTATCAGAACAGGCTGTGGTGAAGAGGAGACAGGAGACTGGCAGCATGCTTACAGGGTTCGCTGGCAACGAAAACGATGCCCAGTCAGTCCCAGCCGCCTGGCCACCCTCTGAGGATTGAAATCTTAGCATGTAGTCTTCCAGTGCAAGAACTTAAATATGTCATACTTGATTTTCATGTAGGGTGTTTTATGTTTCAGCTACAGATTCTGCGCATATTTTCATAGATTAATATGTAAGACTTTCATGGGGTGGGTTCTATCGTAGAGGAAATAGAATGGAGTGCAGAGATGGGGTTCAACCCCAGGCCAGAGCACCCCAGAACCCCCTCTTCTGGCCTGAAGGTCAACAGTTTGGGAGCATAAACCCTTTTCGCAGGCTGTATGCCTCTGGTTGATTTCCGCAGCACTTAGTTTTTGTGGCTTTTGTTCGGCTTTCTAGTTGCTTTTCAGGACTAGGATTAGCTAATTGTCAAATGCATCTATAGCCAGAATTTCCATCTCCAAAAACCTTTTAACTGATACTGATTTTATTAGGCTTATAAAAACTCTGTATTCACTTGATGTTTGGTATGTAAGGTTTGTTAAACTGATTTTCTACTTTTAAAACAGAAATATCACCCATTAAGCTCCTGTTTTATGATGGTCTTAAGTTCTGGGATAGCAGCTTTCATTATTGCATTCATGGAAAAATTGCTTTTTCTAATTTTCATTTAAATAGTTGAAAAAGCAAAACACAGGGGGAAAAAACCACAGTTTTGAGTTACTTTTCATAAAGACTTAGTTTAATTCTGTATATCTGAGATTATATTGTATTTAGACACATTTTTATAAATATAGAAATTTCACCTTCTTGGTAAGAATTGCTTATTAATTTCCATATTATCACCCCTTTCTTGCCTGTAAGGCTTCGTATGATCATACAGGCACTGGCATGTTAGTTAATAAGAAAGAGAAAGTTTCTCATATTGAGATGAAATTTGCTTTCAGGTTTGTTGAGTACCTTTCCTGTGGGCCTTTGAACATCCCCTGTGTTGCTTGTTTTCACGTTGTTGAACAATTACCATGGTTTACCTTTTACTGAGTAACTCTGCCAGTAGCCAGGAGCTGTATGAGCAGCATTTCCACCTGGGTAACAATGATTCCTCCTGGGCAGAGTCGCACATCACTCTTGGCTTGTCTCTTGCAGGTCGCTTTGAAGAAGAGTTTATCAAAATGCGCATGGAGCGGCTTCAGGCCTGGATGACCAGGATGTGTCGTCACCCGGTAATCTCAGAGAGTGAGGTCTTCCAGCAGTTTCTAAATTTCCGAGATGAGAAGGTAGGACATTTTATTATAATCCTGGAGGATATTGAGAATTGTCACATTCACACCAAGGAAGTTAAATCACGTTGATTAGTTGGCTGTTTCTAAGTAATAATAAAGTAGTTACAGTGTGTGAGCAAGGAGTTTGCCAGAATGATTTTCTGCAAACCGGGAACCAGTTGGCCCCGTGAGGACAGGGGTGAAGGGATGTGATAGGATGAGGGGCTTTTTCCTCAATACTGTTAAATATAGGATAGACCCCAAGCTGTGTAGGATATTTTCAGCGTGAAGTTAGGGAAATACTGTGAATGATTTCTTAGGATCATATTTTGACCTTACAGTGTAAATAGTGTAATGAAAATTAGATTCATAAGTGAAGCTGCTTTCTCAAAGCCACCTTGTTTTTCCAGAACTGTTGTCTGTCCAGGTCTGCCTCTGCCCCGTGGGCAGTCATTCTGCCTGCAGTCACTGTTCTTGTTTGAAAATCAAGAAGAAATTGGCTGCTTGTCATCTCACTATTGTTGTCTGCTTTGGAAATAGCTGTGTGTCACCTTAGTCCTCCATTGTATGCCATCATTTGTTTGGTCATGCTTAGTATAATTTATAGGTTAGAGATCATTCTATTTAAATATTTGTAGTCTTTTTGCATTTCATGGTGAATGCTCACATGTCAAAATGTAATATATAGCAGTTACAAAAACTATGTGGAACCCCCTCCAAGTTGGTACCTTACTGCTTGCCACAGGATTTTAACAAGGGCTTGTTTGATCTGTCTAGGATTCTGTTGAGGAAGCATTTCTAGAGAATTCCCTGGCAATTCAGTGGTTAGACTCCATGCTCTTACTCCCAAGCACCCAGGTTCAGTTCCTGATTGGGAAACTTGACGTACCATCAGCTGCTTGGCATGGCCAAAAAGCCCAAAAAACCCCAAAACAAACAAACAAACAAAAAAAAACAGGAAGCATTTCTAAAGGTTATGCTTTATGCAAATTTTAGGCTTTTTTCTTTTTTTGGTGTTTTTGATGTAAGAGAAACAAGAAAGAACCTGGGGCCAGGGCACTTGGTTTTGGTCTTGGCTCTGCTTCTGACTACCTCCATGACTTTGACCAAAACATGAATTTCTTTGGGCCACAATTTCCTCACCTGCTAAATGACAGCATAAAACTAGAAAATTATTAAAAATTGTGATTCTCTGGGCAAGAGTAGCTCATATAGATGGTTGGACATAGAAAACCCAAAAGAACCTACAGAAAAATGTAAATCTACATTAAAAACCATGAAACACTGCTGAGAGAAATAAAAATGAGACCTCAATAAGTGTTCCAGCACTATGTTTTTTGAATTGAAGAACTGAAAAGATGTCCTCCATAGAAAATTTAAGCTCCAAGAATAGCCAAGATACTCTTTAAAATAAAGATGAAATGGGAGGAAGCCTTTCCTGGATGTTGAGACTCATTATAAAGCTAAAATATTTTAAAAGCAGATCAATAGAATATAATGGGCCCTTGATTTATGACAAGAATGATTCTGAGGACGGGGGTGGGGGATGGGCAGTCTTTCCTATCAGTGGTGCTCCGTTGGATGGCATCTCTAATGGATGGCATCTCCATTGGATGGCATCTCCATTGGATGGCATCTCTGGTAAAAATAAACGTGGTCACTGCCTCACAACAAGCTGTTGATTTTGTTAGGTTTGGTGTTGGTATTTTGGTAATGTTTTTAAGACATGGCCCTTATCTGTTAAAGATACACAGTGAAATATTTACAGGTGGAATGATATTCTATCTGAGATTTCCGTTAAAATAAACAAGAAATAAAAGTAGGATGGAGGAGACCAGATAAAACAAGTTTGGTGAAAAGTTGATAGTTTTTGAAGCTGAATCTATAGGGGTTTATTAAAATATTTTTCTTTCTACTTTTATCTGGTTGAAAGTTTCCACCGTATTGAGTCTAAAAAAAATTAATTCCTGATGGTTTACAAGTTTAAATGTGAAAGACAACACAATAAAGCTTCTAAAAGGTAACATAGGAGAAAATTTTTGTATCCCTAGGGTAGGGAAGGATTTCTGAAATAAGACACATACAGGAAGAGACTGACAAATTTGACTACCCTAAAAAAAAAGAACTTTGGTTTATCAGAAGTTATTAAAAGGAAAAACAAGTCGAAGATATGAACATGTATAGTCAACAAAGGGCTGGATTTTAGAATATGGGAAAACCCATACAAATTGATAAGCAAGATAAACCAGTAGACAAATGGGAGATTTGGTAATGTCCCTCACAAAGCTGGCTTAAAACTCAACATTCAGAAAACTAAGATCACGGCTTAGATGAGGCATCTAGTCTCGTCACTTCATGGCAAACAGATGGAGAAACAATGGAAACAGTGACAGACTCTTGGGCTCCAAAATCATTTCATGGTGACTGCAGCCATGAAATTAAAAGACACTTGCTCCTTGGAAGAAAAGCTATGACAAACCTAGGAAGCATATTAAAAAGCAGAAACATTACCTTGCCTACAACAGTCCGACTAGTCAAAGCTATGGTTTTCCCAGTAGTCATGAACAGATATGAGAGCTAGTCAGTAGGAAAGGCAGAGCACCGAAGAATTGATGCTTTCAAACTGTGGAGAAGACTCTTGAGAGTCCCTTGGACAGCAAGGAGATCAAACCAGTCAATCCTAAAGAAAATCAACCCTAAAAAAAAAAAAGAAAAGAAAATCAACCCTGAATATTCACTGGAAGGACTGATGCTAAAGCTGAAACTACAATACTTTGGCCACCTGATGTGAAGAGCCGACTCATTGGAAAAGACCCTGATGCTGGGAAAGATTGAAGGCAAGAGGAAAAGGAAGGCTAGGATGAGATGGTTGGATGGTATCACCAACTTGATGGACATGAGTTTGAGCAAGCTCTGGGAGTTGGTGAAGGACAGGGAAGCCTGGCGTGCTGCAGTCAGTGGGGTCACAAAGAGTTAGACACAACTGAGCAACTGAACAACAAGTCACAAAAGAAAATATCTGAATCATCAGTGAGTATATAGAAAAGCACCTAGTCTTATGAGTAATAAGAAACGCAAATTCAAGCCACAGTGAATAAACTTACCAGAAGGCTGAAATTAGAAAGACCAAGATGCCATGTGTCTTCTTGGTGAGATAAGGAGCTTCTGAAACTCACACACTCCTGGTGGGTGTGGAAGCTGCTGAGACCAGTTTGGAAAACAGTTTGGCATTATCTGCTGAAACAACTTTCCACGCCTGGTTATATCCCCACAGAAGTGCATGCACACATGCACCAGGAGATGTGTACACAGCAGCTTTATCCATAACTCGCCAGGGCCACTGATGGCTACCCGTAGTACAATGGGGTCAATAAACTGGGCAACAGTCACTCGATGGAATGTTACACAGCCATGAAATGAATGAAGTCCAGCTGTAACAACAGTGTGTGTGTAACTTCTTAGCATAGGTTGAGCAACTAAGGGCAGACACAGAAGAATGCCAAGTGTTGTGTTCTCAGCTAGTTCACAGAAGTAGCAAAACCATGGTGTGGGGACTTTGGTGGTGAAACTGTATGAAGTGAGGAACTGAAAACCATGAAAGAGTCGGTGGTCATGGTTACCCCTGGAAGGGGAGGGAAGGGGTAGTGATGGGGAAGGGACGAGAAGGGGGCTTCCAGAAGTCCAGCTCTCATTCTCTCTCTTGCCCTTGGAAGTAGTTACACAGGAATTGACTGTATGAGAATTTGTTGTACTGTGTATTTTTGCTTTGGGAACTTTTCTGTGGGTGTGTTATATATACACGGTGGTGGTGGTTTGGTCGCTAAGTCGTGTCCAACTCTTGCAACCCCACGGACTGTAGCCTGCCAGGCTCCTCTGTCCTTGGGATTCTCCAGGCAAGAATTCTAGAGTGGGTTGCCATTTCCTTCTCTAGGGGATCTTCCCGACCCAGGAATTGAACCCAGGTCTCTTGCATTGTAGGCAGATTCTTTACCAACTGACCTACAAGGGAAGCCCATATATATATGATTTGTAGTAATTTTTTTAATAGTTTATAATATTGGTTCCTATATTTAGAAAGGCTTTAATCTTTTCAAGAAAACAACCTAAAATTTTGAGGTGCTTTGTCAGATTCCTTGGATGTGTTTGTACAGGTGGGTGGGCCTTGGGAAAGGACAAGTCCTGGGTCACCTCACTCCGAGAGGATTTGAGCTCTTAAGGACCATTCAGCACAGCGGCACCGTTCACACTGCTCACGTGTGGGATGGAGTTGGAGATGCAGGGGTGAAGAGGGAGACAGCATGGGCACTGCCTCCCGAAAGTTAGAAGGATAAAGACGGTCAGTGAGCCGATGCTAGGACGGGATTTTGAAAGAGCTGTTTGGCTCCGCTCCCCACTTTAATGTCATAATGTTCCTCTTTACAGGAATGGAAAACAGGGAAGAGGAAGGCTGAGAAAGATGAGCTGGTCGGAGTTATGATATTCTCCACCATGGAGCCAGAGGCACCTGACCTGGACTTAGTGGAAATGTAAGAGATCCTGCCAGCCTCCCCCGCTTCCCAGACCGGGTCCACCTCTTTTGCTCGCAGGCCTTGGCCCGTCTGACCACACCTGAATTCACATCGTCAGATGAGAGGGTGTGAAATGAGTGGGTGTGGTCAGAAGTCATGGAGAGCATCTCTTGTACTTGAAACACTGTCTTGCTAACCATAACATCAGTTAAAGTCCGCTTCCTTTTTACCTTGAAGTCAGTGATTTCATATTTGACACAGTGGTTAGTAGTTATTAATAATAAAGTATGAGGACAGAGCATGGCACTGAGCCAGCTGACACCCACAGATCAGTCCACGGGCCAGAAATCTCTTTGAACATAGCCTTGAAGAGAGCAGTCTCAGGCCTGTTTTTCCAGTGTTGTTTTAATCTCTTGTTTTTAATCGTGTCATCTTTTTAATGCAGACTTAGTTGAAAGTCTGGAGTAGTTCCTTTTCTATATAAAGTTTAATAAGAAATCTTGTATTTGTTCATAGTAATAATTTTAAGCAGCCTTTTTTCTTAATGTATAGCCATTGCTTATGTTTTGTCCAGTATATAGACAGTCTTCTAACTACACAGAGAGAAAATCAGTGTTAATATGTTGACTTAGGTCTGTATTCTTCCAGACCCTACTCTGTACACATGTATCTGAAGGGAAAATGGTTGTGTAAACAAAAGTGACCTCATGTTACACAGTCTATTGTAACCTCCTCTTTCATTTAAAAGTATATTGTGATAATTTTTTTCAAGTCAGGAAAAGCTTTTTAATCCTGAAGGAACTGGTATCTTCTGTATCACTTAGATGCTGTGTGTGTAGGTTTATTTTCTCTGATTCATTTAAGTATTTGTTGGAATGAGTGAACAACTACCATTAGCAGCCCATACTATAGAGTCACCAGTACCTGCAGTGATTGAACTTCACTCAGTAAGATATTCAAGAAACGAAGATTCTATTTACTTTAGAACAATTTTAGTTAGAATTCACAAGGAATTGAGGGCGAGAGAAAGCAGAAGTTAAAATATAAGTGGCAGATGTTGAAGCAGTTCTTTAAAAACCTGAATCTAGCTGGTTTTTAAGACTGATTTAGTTACAGCACAGTTGCTAGAATGCACAGCACAAGTACCCGTGGTCAGGCTTGCTGTGAGCTCCCCTGACCATGTTGGACTTTCCTCCTCTTACACCTCACACTGTCTGGACGCTGGGTAGTGAAGTCAGGGACGCAACCTCCTCGTGTTTTTGCCCCACAGAGAACAGAAGTGTGATGCTGTCGGCAAGTTCACCAAAGCCATGGACGACGGCGTGAAGGAGCTGCTGAACGTGGGGCAGGAGCACTGGAAGCGGTGCACAGGACGTAAGTGCATCCCCGGGGGCCCCGGGGGCCAGGGCAGCGCCACAGCCACGGCGCTCTGCGGAACCTCGCCTCCCAGCCCTGTTACAGCCCGGGAGCCTGGGTGACCACAGCGGCTCCAAGAACCCCCGTAAAAAAGCACCACATTCACTTGAATATTTCCAGTTATGTGGGGTTTGTAATCTGTGGGAGAGTCACTCTTTCTGCCTGCAGAGAAAGTGCCCGTGGTTATTTTTAATCCTAGGATCTTACTTTTTAATAGTCATCCCTTTAGTGAGTTGTGTGTTTGACTAAAGCTCTAATTTTAGGAAAGCCCGGTGGCGGGTGGTAGCAGAAAGCCCGGAGCCTGGGTCAGACCCGAGAAGTGCCGCTGTCCGCTCCGCTCTCTGCCTGCTGCGCTGCACCCTCCCTTCCCTTTCTCCGCTGAACCATTTTCCCGTGTCCCCCAGACCCAGGCCGCCCTGCCGCCCAGCAGCCAAGGAGAGAAGCACAGTCCAGTGTCAGCTGTGGGGGTCACGCCTTGGCTGCTGTGGTGTGAAGGATGGCCGAGTTGAGTACTTTCAGCAGAAACCTGCAGCCCAACAAAGCCTAAAATGTTTCCTGTCTTGCCCTTTGCAGGAAAAACCAGGCCTTACAATGGCCCTCCATCATTCACGTGATATTTTATATCAACAGAACCATTGTCATGTACCAGCTGTTCATGCTCAAGGGGCAAACACCAGGAGCAGTAACACTGGTTCCTTTTCCCATGGCAAAGAAATGCTGAAAATAGAACTAAGCCTGAAAACATAACCTATACAAATGCAGCATCAGAAAATAAAATCTGTTTCAGGCCTTTGGTCACAGGGAATAACTCATGAGCCAAAAAGGGAGTGATACTTCTCTAAAACGTAAATGAAATAATTTAATTTTTAAAATAATTAACTGTAAATTCAACTGTTTCCCGCTTTTAAAGAAAATTTTAAATGAGTACAAATCTTAAAATTTTTAAGGATATCCCCAAAACCTGGGATTATGGCTTCTGTTAAAGAATCAAATCCCTTATGTCTGACATCTGGTCAACTCCATGTCCTGTAGAACCCACAGACCAAGATTAGGAAATAGTAACAGTATCAGGCTGCTGTCTTCTGGGGGAACGGGAGGTTGACGTGTTTTGCTTAGAATTTGATTCAGCCATAGTTTCTTTCCTCTCACAAGAGAGTTTTTAAAAATTCCTAATCTGTGAAGTGAGACGTCTAGGACACACTCCACATGGTGAAACACACAGCAAGTATTTTTAACCCCCAGTGTAAAGGCAAAAACTGAGTTACAAAAGGGTGAACAATTTATTAAAATTAACCAAGCTAATATAATTTGAATTCTTGTTTCCTCTTTCTTATAGCTTGTAGACCATATGTCAAATTTCCTTGTCCTGGACTTTTTTTTTAAAGAAACATGTGAATCATTTTTCTTTATAATAGTGTCTTCAAATGCGAGTAATGGTTTCTTTTGAAGGCAGCAGTTGTGTTTCAGGAAACTGTACAGATTGCAAATGAAAGTAGCCTGAGATGCAAAGACTCTTCTCTGGAGAGATCTCCAGAGTGATCCTAGAAGCCTAGGATTTAGCACCAGAGGAGCATCGGAGATGATTTAATTAATCTTATTATTATACAGATGAGAAAGCTAAAATCCCTCCTCCCTGGTCCTGTGATGTTCCACTGCCCTTCTTCTCCACACCCCGTTGCTTTTGGTCGTGTTTTGTTTTGTAAATAATCACCCACAGGTACATGGCAGAGTGGGAAAAGCAGCAGGTTAGGAATAACAGGCACCAGATCCTCCACTTACTAGCCACGTGACCCCAGCGTTCCTATCCCAGGAAGGGGAGATAGTGCATCTGCATCGGTAGAGGGGCGGTTGTGATGATCAGGTTGGTGTTGTATATATGAAAGGACTCAAACCTAGAAATCATCTTCTAAATGAGCTTCTGGTTCGCTTTGATTTCATTCAGTGAATGAGAGTGTGGGCACTGGTGGTATTCATAATAATAGTGTCCACTATTTATTGAATAGTTGGTTGATTAAAAACTGAAGAAAAATTAATTTGTAAAAACAGACCTTCTGTATGGATATTCTGTTAAAGAATACAGACTTACTTTGAATCATTTGAGAAAACAGTTGGATCATTTAATTTTGCTCCACTTAGTGAATGCCTTATTCTTTTTTCTCTTTCAGCATTACCCAAGGAGTATCAGAAGATAGGGAAGGCCTTGCAGAGCTTGGCCACGGTCTTCAGCTCCAGTGGTTACCAAGGTACCCCCTTATTTCTTTGTTCTTTGGGCCCTGGCGTCTTAACCCCCACAGACTGGCCTCCTCAGGCTCCTACAGACACGCAGTAATGCAGTGAAGCACCCCATCAGTGGCGTTTAAACTGGCTGCACGGCTCCACTGAGGACTTCTGCCTCCTCACCTTACTAGTTTTGAGAAAAGTGGTGGGTGGTAATAGTTTGGATTTCCTGGCTAGTGTCTTTGCCTTTCCTGTGCTCAGATACAGCTCTTGTGTTTTAGCGAAGCAGGCGGGTATGGTATGTGACACTCTGCCCTGCTTTCATTTCTCTGCCAAACTCTGAAGCCGAGAGTCTGTCTCTCTGTCAAGAGCCAGATCTTACCAGGAACATTTGGAGGGAAGAATCTTGACTGAGTGACAAGTTCTTATTGCCTTATGTCTCTTGCTAACTCATTATTGTTTTCAGCTTATCCCATATTGTATATCCACTTGTGGTATTTTGAGTTCATTGTGCATTTCCATGGACAACACTTACAAGTTAGCAATTTTCTTTTATATCTTGGTTCGTTTTCTTAATTTGGCATGTGGAGCTGGTAGGTAGTAAAAGTATTTGCCAGATGAGTGGCACCTACTCAATTTGAGGACGTCCTGTCACTTATAGAAATGATAGGCTTGGTACTGTCACCGTGGCGTTATTCTGATACCCAGGGAGGGTAGGTCTTTGGAGGTCAATGTCTGAGTATTTCCAGGTATAAGAAATTAGTCTTATACCAAAATATAAGACCCGTGGCTCCCGTATTTATTTGAATATTTCTTGTTGGCCTGGCTGAATTGTGTCTTTTAGTTAAAAACTTTTAGCTTGGGCAGGAGTTTTGCGGATTCATTGGTCTGGCCCCCATTTTTTTAGATGAAGAACCCAAGGTCTTTGAAGATAAGCATCTTGTGGCCAAGACACCCCAAAAAGGTGCTCAACATCGCCAGTTAGAGAAATGCAAATCAAAACTGCAGTGAGGTATCACACCACTCAGAATGGCCATCATCAAATGTATACAAATAATAAATGCTGGAGAAGGTGTGGAGAACAGGGAGCCCTCCTACACTGTTGGTGGGAATTTAAATTGACGCATCCACCATGGAGAACAGTATGGGGGTTCCTTGAAAAAACTAAATATAGAGCTACCATGTGATCCAGCAATCCTATTCCTGGGCATAGATCTAAAAATTATGAAAAGATGAAATTTCCAATTAAAAAAGATACAGGCACCCAGTGTTCACAGCAGCACTTTATACAGTAGCCAAGACATGGAAGCAACGAAATGTCCATCAACAGATGAATGGATAAAGAGGATGTGGTATTTATATAAATGGAATATTACTCAGCCATAAAAAAGAATGAAATGATGCCATTTTCAGCAACATGGATGGGCCTAGAGATTATCATACTAAGTGAAGTCAGAGAAAGACAAATATCAGTGATACCACTTAAACATGGAATCTAAAAACGTGATAAAAATAAACTTATTTACGAAACAGAAACAGACTCACACATAGGGGGAAAAAAAAAAACTTAGTTACCAAAGGGGGAAGGTGGGAAAAATAAGTTAGAAATTTGGAATTAACAGATACACACTTGGCTCTGTTCACTGAAAAGACGTAGAAATAGTTATCGAGTCCAGTAACAAGAACTCCCAGCATCACCCACATGGCGATTTCGAAATATTGTTTGCCTGAAATAATCCAGAGCTCGGAGGTAAAGAACTTGGATGCCAATCTGAAGAACCTTCCACTGTCCTATGAAGCGAAAATTTGAGCTTAGTGAAGATAATGATTGCTATGAAATGAAGCATATCAACTTTAATTCAGACTTGCAATGATATTCTTAAAAAGTTAATCTCAGTTACCTTTGGAGGATGGAATAGAATCAACTTATAATTCTGAAAACTGTAAAAAGAAGGAAGCATTTAACCTGTTCTTCCTGTCCCCATACCTCAAGGTAACAAAAAGCTGATAAAGGAAAATTTGTCTTTATAAAAGTATTTCAGCTAATAAAGGAGCAGTGACAGAAGTAATATAGCACCAATTCGCAAACCTGAAATACTAAATAAATACTAAAATGAAAGATCTAGACAGTACAGGAAAGAGAAGACTGTTGTCACCACCGAGACTCACTCAACAGAACCCGACTGTGGGACCAAGGCACACAGCCTGGTTTCTTCAACACTTCCCCAAAAGAAATTTGCAAGAAAAACACACAGAAGAGAAAGAACCTCTGTAGGAAACATGTCAGCTCTATGCCACGTGGACGGTCTTTGTATCCTGACTCAAGCAGCCAACTTGATTGGAGACACCGGGCAGCTACACACTGGCTGGACAGTTCATATCAGGAACAATGGTCTTTTCTCAGGTGTGAGATTGGGGTTGTCTCTATTTCTTAAAGAGCCCTTGTCTGTTAGGTAAAATGTATGAATGAAGTGTTAAATGACCAGTAAAAGGGAGAGGAAGGGAGGGGATTGAAAGATTGGGCATAGGCTGTTAGTTGGGGGTGATGAGTAGATGAGGATTCATTCTGTTGTATAGTTTTCAAAGTTTGAAGTTTGCTGTAATAACATTTTAGAAGTAATGAAAAGGAAATATAAGTTGTAATACGCATATAACTGTCTTGATTCCCAGGTGAAACAGATCTCAATGACGCGATAACTGAAGCAGGAAAGACTTATGAAGAAATTGCCAGCCTTGTGGCAGAACAGGTATATTAACATAGCCACATGGTTCCAGTGAAGATTTTATGCTACCTAATCCACGTTTTATTTAAAACCCGTTTTAAGGCTGTTCTCCTCTGTCCCTACGCATCTTTATTAATTACACCAAATAGTAGTATTTCTTAGGCCAAGCTAAAGTAATGGATAATTCATCATCAGGAAGCTTCAACAGCTCCCAGCGCCGGTGGTCTGGATCCGTCTCAGCCGCCAGGGGATTAGCACGTACAGGGAAGAGCTTCACTCTTCCTGTTTGGAGTCTTGCTCAGCCTCTCGGAGCAGAGGTTTCCTGGTCTGTAAATAACGATGGTCCCTGTTTGGGTCTTGTTCAGCCTCTTGGAGCAGGGGTTTCCTGGTCTGTAAATAGCGATGGTCCCTGTTTGGGTCTTGCTCAGCCTCTTGGAGCAGGGGTTTCCTGGTCTGTAAAAAGCAATGGAAGCACCTGCCTGGGGGTGGGCTGAGGATCAACAGCTAATAAAGAGAAAGCCCTGCTCAAATTCCTGGCAGGCAGCAGATTTCATTGTAGCCACCTGGCTTTTATTGGAGTCTTTAGTAGCCTGATTTCAATTATGTTCATAGATAACAGATAATGTTTCCTTAAGGGGACTAACCATCAAGGTTGTTTCAAACCCTTAAATTAAAAAAAAATTTTTTTGCAGATGACAACTTGAAATATATATTTGTATACCCATACATTCATGTGGTCATTAACTACTCCCCTGATACTTGTAAAAAAAAATTATTTTTAGAATTGTGCACACCAAAACTTTAAATATTATCACAGAACAAATGGAAAAATGTATAGTTGCCACTTTTAATGATTACCAGATTTTTAGCAGTTTTTTTATTTTTTGCTAAAATTTGTATTAAGCTATAACATCTTATTTGCTTCTGTGTAAACATATGGTGTTAACTAGTTTTTTTTTTAACTTTGTTCACAGTGTTGTATCTTGGGCCACTTCAAAATAGCTCATTTTACCAACCAACCTAAAAATCCACAGTTTTATCATTTTTTCACAGCCTACAATAACAGTATAGAGTTCTTGGGGATTATTTTCTTACAGGAGAACTAGGCTGACTGCTTCACACTCAGTAACTTCACGTCATGCCTGGCAGATTTGGCTGATAGAGCACTTAAATGTAACCGTTTTCTCTTTGATTGTCTGAATTCTTCCACCAATAATAGCCAATCTTTCTTGTTACAGCCAAAGAAAGATCTCCATTTCCTGATGGAATGTAATCATGAATATAAAGGTTTCCTTGGCTGCTTCCCTGACATTCTTGGCGCTCACAAGGTAACTTGATCCTAGGCGTTCACAGATGAGGTTCTGGCCGGGTCAGGACCCAGGTGCAGGGCCAGCTGTGGGAGCTTCGCCCTTCAGCACCCCCCCCCGTCGGGAGCTCCCCTCCAAAACCAGCCGGAGCGGCTCAGCGGGCTTACAGAGCGAGGGCGCCATATTCAGATACCTGAGTGGTGGTTCAGTTTCTTTTATTCTGTAGAAAGATTATCTGGAGGGAACTAAAAGGGTGATAGCTGTTCCTTTATGGATATACTTAGGGCAGGCCGCAGACGTAATAACCGTGGTGTCTGGTGGTCAAGTGGGTGCCAGGAATGGTACTTGCCCGCATCGGCGGGACCCTCCCTGCGCGCTGTGTGGGCGAGGCCTCCCAGGGCCTTTCCTGTCCAGGTGAAATCGGATGTCTGTCCCCCAGCCTGATGCAGTCTGTCCTGATTAAGGTCAGAGTGGTCAATGTCGGTTTGTTTGTTCACGTTAGTAAAAAGGAACCATATAGTTCCCATCGTCAAGGTTCTCTTTTAAAACTAAATAAAGATTGGTTTGGAGTGTCCTCAGGGTTTGATTCTGGTTAATTTTTCTCTTTCAAAATCTGCACGTTACCTCATTACTGTGGGTGTTTAATCAGCCGTCGTACTCTAGGGTATTGTGATGTGCTTGGGTTTATTTTGAGACAGTGGTTTTGTTTTCTTTGGGTATATACTCACAGGTGGAACTGCTGGGAGAGTAGATATTAAAAATTCTCATCACAGGAAGAAAATAGTTTATAACTCACTGAGGTGATGGATCTTACATACTTATGGTAGTAATCATTTTGCATTATACACATGTCTCAAATTCATTATGTTGTACGCCTTAAACTAATATAATGTTATCTGTCAGTTACCTTGCTGTAATGGGGGTGGGTGGGAATAAAAAAATTAAAATCTCAAAAAAGGAAAAAAAAGCCCTCAGAACAGTTAGTTTGTTGTAGGAATTTGTGCCTGCCTTGACATTTCTAGGTGGGGAACCTGATTTATACACAGGCGGAGAGTTCTTCCCAGACAGCACCAGTGAGCTGTGTGATGACGCGAGTGTGGGAAATGTTTGGCAGCTTTTACAGCTGTTTCCATCTCGGTATTAATTTGAAGTTAGTCCGAGCTTCTTACAGAAATCACAGTAAAGCTTATGATCAGCACAGCTAGGTACCAGCTTATGAAATACTCTGCAAGAGTGCCCAGGCACATACGCTAGACTGTCCCGGATCAAATGACTTCCTAGACCTAGTGCCTGTTTGCCAATCATGTACCGCTGTCACCTGACAATGACTTATTCATATTACAGAAAAAGAGTGCTATTTAGTTTTCAGCCTTGCTGCAGCATAAAAGTGTAGGTTTCAGCTTAGCTATATTTTACAAGAATAGCAGCATTTTTGTTTCCAAGCGACTTACAGGAAGTTACAGTGAGATGCGTTCCTCATGTTCTCATTTTGTGGAGGCATTTTCCTATTCAGTAGCAAGATAATTACAGAATATGTTGGCTTTGTTACATTTTAAACTAATGACTAATCCTTTCAGATTTGTTTTATTAATACCACCACATTTTGTATTTCACAGGGAGCAATAGAAAAAGTGAAAGAAAGTGATAAACTGGTTGCAACTAGTAAGATCACCCCCCAGGACAAACAGAACATGGTGAAGCGTGTTGGGACAATGTCTTACGCTTTGCAAGGTAAGAACGATAAGGTCTGTGAGTAGCTAGTGGAGATTTTTTTCCAAAAAAAAAATTTCTATTTTCCTTGCTGGAGAGAAATTCCAGTATGGACAGCAGTTGAGTTAAAAAGAACTGATTCAAAATATCTTCATAAGCCTGTTGTTTGTAGGATCCCAGTGTTAAAAGCTGTAATATTTACATTTAGTTTTTCGTACATTTACCTCATGTAACTACAAATGACAACATGATTGATTAAACCTGTACGTTTTTATTTCTTCTTGGAGACCCTGAAGATTCCTTTCATAACCTTCAACAGCAGGCCCTATCCAGACTAGATACCCAAATCCAGCTTTTAGCAGCATGTAACATGCAGGCCTCAAGACCATAGAATGTGATGGGAGTTTGGACATAGCATTTTTGGCATGGTTTAACTATTACTAAAAAGAAAATATTGAATTTTTTGAGTATTTTCCAGCAGGTAGGAGCAGTGAATGGATTTTTCATGTTTTGGCGGGTGGATGGAATACATGGGCCAAGGATGGAGTGGAAGGATATTCTAGTGGGAATACAGAACAGAACGGGACCAGATTATGTCATTGGCCTTCGGGATAAAACCCATTTGCAGGTTATGAGGGGGAGACTTTGGAGATTCTGGAGGGCCTCAAAAGCCAGGCAGAAGAGTCTAGACTTGCTATGGGCATTAGGAAGCCATGAAAAGGTTTCGATGGAAAAACACACAGAAAAAACACTGCTAAGAGGATCTGCATAGTGACGGAGGTCGGGGTGCGAATCGGAGGCTGACATTAGACAGCCCAGCTGGAGACCTGGCTCCTGCCGTCTGAGATTTTTGAGGACCCAAAGAAGATGAGGTGCTGGGGAAGAGAATGAAGGGTACTTATGGGCTTTTCCAAAGGATCCTTCAGGACTAGAGAGAAAGTAGGAGAAGAGAAGAATGTGTGAAAGGTTTCCAGAACGAGGACAGTTCAGGGCAGAAACAGGGAGGACTGACTGAAGCTTGGGGCTTGGAAGGGAAAGTTGGTCTTGACCTTGTGTTTGGAGTTATCCCAATTGACGAATGAAAGCATTGTACAACTTCAGGTAACAACCTAAAATCCGGAACAATGAGCTTTTTACAGGAATTTATGCCAGCAGCGGTTGGCTTTGTAGGTGTGGCGTGTAGGGAAATGACAGAGGTGATGTGGGGCCTGATGAGGAAGGCCTCTCAGATACTGGTGACGGGATGGGGGTGGCACTCAGAGGCAGAGTTGGAGAAGGTGTTCTTTTGCTGAGTTGAGACATTCAGCAAACACAGAGGCTGGGCGTCCAGCCCTCTGTCTGGACAGAGGTCGAGTTCTGGCAGTGCTGGCGCTCGGTGGCACCAGGCATCAGCTGCCCTGAAGAGGGCCTTCCTCACGTCTCGCCTCTGCCCAGCCTGTCAGAGGCGCCTGGGCGGTCACCATGCAGCAGGGGACATGGCACCTCGCAGGGCCCCTGGGGGCAGACTCGACATTCTTCACTGAGGCCGCTGGCAGCCAGTGGGCCCACGCTGGCTTCTTACTCAAGCAAGAGCCGTCATTTTTGTGGTTATGCTGGGCTTTATGAGATTTAACATAAAAAAAAAAAAATATTTAACATGCATGGAGAAGGCAATGGCAACCCACTCCAGTATTCTTGCCTAGAAAATTCCATGGACAGAGGAGCCTGGCGGACTGCAGTCCATGGGGTAACGAGTTGGTCACAACTGAGCGTCTGGGCGTGAACACACACACACACACTGTTTTGAAAGATATTAAAGTTAAATTAAGGGAATAATTTATTTAAAAAAGAAGATTTAACATGCAAATTGACAGTAATCATCCATCTATGGAGAAGTGCTTTTGCCGTTACCTGTTCAAACTGTTTTTCTAGCCTCTTTGTGGCATTATTGTCAGGAACTGGCACAGGCCAGCCTGGCTGATGATGAATCATAACTGGGCCAGAGACACAGCTGCGTTTGTTTGCAGTCCAGGGGGCACTGACCGATGTCTTGGTCTTGGTTGCAGCCGAGATGAATCACTTCCACAGTAACCGGATCTACGACTACAACAGCGTCATCCGCCTGTACCTGGAGCAGCAGGTGCAGTTCTACGAGACGGTGAGTCGGCCCATCTCCCGGGCTCCCCGCGTCCCGCCAGGGCTCCCTGTGAAGCTGGGCACCTGTGGTTTTTAACCCTAACTGGTGAGGCAACTAACGGGCTTCCCTGGCGGTTCACACTGCCTGCAATGTGGGAGACCCGGGTTCGATCCCCAGGGCCAGAAGAATCCCCTGGAGAAGGAAATGGCAACCCACCCCAGTATTCTTGCCTGTAAAATTCCATGGACAGAGGAGCCTGGTAAGCTACAGTCCATGGAATCGCAGGGAGTCACACATGACTGAGCAACTTCACTTCTCAGCCAAAGGAGGCTAAATACTGAGCAGGGTTTTTTTTTTCCAATCTCTTTTAACCATATCTCCGTTTTCCTTTTGAGGAACACTGGGCTAAAGAGGGGTTTATTTTTTTCAAGAAGGAGGGGTGCAGGGTGCTGGTCCGGTGCCCACTGCTCCGTGCACAGGGGATGCTGTGAGATGAGGTCACCCTGCCGGCTCAGCTGGGGAAGGCGCCTGGCACCGCGCGGGACCACACAGGCCGGCTTTGTGTGTGAGCGAGGATTTCGCAGTGTGCCGGAGGGATTTCAGAAGGAAAACAAAAGCAGGAGGGGGAGTGAAGCCTTAGATGGTTCCATTCAGGAACCGGTAATGAAAATGTAGACATTCACACCTCTGCAGAGCAATTTTGTTATTCACCAGGATGTACAGAAAACAAAGATCTAGCCCATAAATGGAAACTCAGACCTCAAAGACAAGTTCTGTAACTTATTATGATTGACCGCGTGTTGGCTACCGTATTTCTTCCTAAGCTTTCCACTGTTTCCATGGGGTCATCTCCTATATATTCAGGGATTGGCAGGCCCCAGACTCATGTCCACACACGCGTCCTCTGGTCTGTCCTCTGTCCTCTGGACACACTGCCACTCGTGTGTCCACCGCGGGGCTTCTTGGAAGGGAGCCACAGCCCATGTGCTCCGTGCATACTGTCCATGTGTGTTGGAAACAGGTGGTTTCAGAGACGAGCGAAAGGTGCAGCCTGTCTCCACATGTGTAGCCGCAGCGGGGCCTGTCTTAGGAGGTCACAGGTGTCCAGGAAGGCAGGGGAGTCTGGGCCCAGCACAGAGACTGGATCCTGGGAGGACAGGCTGATGGTCTAGAAATGACACCGCATGGTTGGAAAGAGCCGGGCTTCCTGCGAGCCGGGCACCACGGCCAGCAGTCCCATCTGGGAATTTCAGAAGGTCTCTTCCCTGCCAAGTGATGCTGGTGGTAAAGAACCCACCTGCCAATGCAGGAGACGTAAGAGACGTGAGTTTGATCCCTGGGTCAAAAAGATCCCCTGGAGAAGGGAATGGCATCCCACTCCAGTATTCTTCCCTAGAGAATCTCACGGACAGAGGAGCCTGGCAGGTTACGGTCCATAAGGTTTCGAAGAGTTGGACACAACTGAAGCAACTTAGCACGCGCTCTGCTGCCCTGACACTTTCACTTTTATAGGGCTCCCCTGGGGGCTCAGACGGTAAAGAATCTGCCTGCAATACAGGAGGCCCAGGTTTAATCCCTGGGTCAGGAAGATCCTCTGGAGAAGGGAATGGCAACCCACTCCAGTATTCTTGCCTGGAGAATCCTACAGAGGAGCCTGGCGGGCTACCAGTCCATGGGGTCGCAAAGAGTCGGACACCATTGAGCAGCTAACACTTGCCCTTTCCACTGCTCAGAGGCTTGAGTTGGGGCTGGGAGAGACTAGGAGCATCTACCAGTGACGGGATTTGAAATGTTTGGCGTGTTTGAGAAGAGATGGAAATAATAGAGAACCACAGGGTCACTGTGCGAGACATCTCACGGTGTTCTGTTTCTCACCAGATCGCGGAAAAGCTGAGGCAGGCCCTCAGCCGCTTCCCGGTGATGTAGGACAGATGGAACGAACGTGAAGAAACGCCGAAGTGCTTCCTTCTGACTTGGGACGATGCAATTTGATTCTTTTTTTTCCCCCATCATCCAAAAAGAAACAAAAAGAAAACCAAAAAAAAGGAGAGTTGGAAAAAAACTTAATTTCCTTTATTAAGCGCCTAAATGCATCCGTTTTTTAGGAATAGTCTTTCGTTCATCTCCACATCCATTATTTAAACCAATGGAAATTGCCTATTTTTGGAAAGTACTTAAAGTTATCAGAATTTTGAATGGAAAATTAGGGATTCCCCCCCCCGATATTTTGCATAAAATTGTAATTTATGAGTTAGCCACAGTTCTGTTGCCGCCCAACGTCAGATAATTACTAATTGCTTTCTTAAAAAATGCAAAATATGCCAGAGTAAAAAACATAATATGTATATTTTTATAACTCCTTTCCACCCTTTGAGAGTCCTATCTATTTAGGAAACTCTGCACGCCTTCCACTGAGATGTTTATAACTCAGACACTCAGTTTTCTCGACAGAGGAAGCAAGCAGGGGCTCCCGCGGCTCCCGCCCTCACGTGGCCCTGCCGCACGCATCCCTCCAGAGGACCAGCTCGGCAGAACCCCGGGATCAGAGCCCCCGCGCCCACAGCCCTAAAGTGCCGTCTGTCTCGCGTTCCCTCCTGAGCCCGGGTGAGGCTGGAAGGGTTCACCGAGAAAGCCCCGGGGTCTCGGGGGAGGCGCTCTGGCTCGGCTCCTGGGGAAGGAGCAGCCATGTCTCTGTGGGCAAACACTCCTCCCAGGCTTTCCGCTGGCCTCGCAGTCTCAAGGAGGCATCAAGAGCAGTGCTGGGGAAAGCGTGATTTTGCCGCTTGATTGGGATTTTAGACGAGCGGGCCGGTGGGGGTTATCTGAAACGATGAAGCACAGGTGAGCGAGCCTCTCCCAGCCCCACCAGATGGGAAGGTTTTAAGGGGCTGACGAGGGTGCTAAGTCTCGTAACATGCGGCCCTCCCCAAGCTTTTACGTGCGAGAAGAAAAAGTTCAGAGCGATGTATCCTGACTGTATCCTAAACTTCAGACAGAATTTTGTCATCACTAGTAGTTCACTTAATGGCATAAAGCAAAACAGGGTCTTGGCGAACCGTCAGCTTTAACCTGGGATGCTCGCAGACACGGTCTCAGCCCCGCAGACCTCGCCGCCCTCCATGGCTGCCTTACCGTCCGCTCGCACCGCTCTCCCTCTTCTGACCTGATAGTTACATGGTAGGAAATGGAAGTTTTGGGCCAGCACAAATAAAGTGAAACCAAAAAATAAATAGAAGAGGAAATCAAATGAATACGAATATGAGAACTTCTTGTTCTTCAGTATCACGGGTTTTTTCTTTTTGTTAATGTTTTATAAGTAATTTTCCCTACTTGATTTTTCTTTTATAAAATCTCATAGAACAGTGTTTATGATACAGCCATTTAATATATGTACAAATTGTAAAGAATATGTATAAATGTTTTACACAAATGCAGGAGCATGTAGAAGCCAACATATAAATAAATTGTTTAAAAAAAACTGTACAGTAAATTCTCAAGCACTTTTTCAAAACACTTTTTGGTGTTTTTGTGTGATTTTTTTTTTGTTTGGATCACTGTTTCATGTTGCCAGCTGCAAGACAGAGTCCAGGTAATGAGTTTTGCCCCAGAATTTATTTCTCCTAACACGAATTAATAATGCTAATTGCTTAAGTGAGTGTTATCAATCCAGGAAACTTGTCAGTCACCTGGAGAGGCAGTAAGAACAAACACCGATGCCCAGTGTGTGAGGGTTCTCCAGGGAAACGGAACCTACAGGGAGTGTGTGTGTGTTCATCCCTTAAGAGAGGCTTGCTCCTCTGTACCCCATGTCTTACTTCTCTGGTGTGCATCCCATCCCCTTGTCCTTCCGGCGTGTCCAGGGAGAGGCTGTGGTGCTGCCGCTGTCCACTGGGGGGCGGTATCTGCACGTCGGGCAGGACCCCGGGGAAACCCCGCGCAGACTTCTCTTCCTCTGTGGGCTCCGGGTGGAGAGCTCCCCCGTGGGCCGTGGATGCGGGCTGGAGAAGAAGGCAGTGTCGCGGGAGTGGGGGCCTTGGTGTCTGGGCCACGTCCTCGTGTAACGTGAGCCTGCAGTGCTTTTTCCATTCAGTGAGGGAGCGCCACTGTGCACACTCGGCCTTATGGCTGGTGGTCAGGTGACAGCCAGTCCTGATGGGCAGCTCAGGTCTCGTGGTGACTTGCTGGCCCGTGGGTAAGCATTCCGTCCGTTTCAGGCCAAGAGCTGTTTCTCAGAAGGAGAGTGGTCGTCTGTGGAGGATGGCAGGGCTGTGCTCCAAACCCGGAGGCCTGCACCGAGATTCTTCCACCAAAGGCTCCAGACAGCATCCCTTTCTGCCACATGCTTTGGGTACCACCGGATCTGCTGGATCACGTGACCCAAGCCACAGAGCAGGTCACACGGTGGCCTGGTCCGTGAGGAGCCTTCTCTTGTTTTGGGGCCCAAGTGGCCTAGTCAGTATTAACATAAATATATTGATTGTCTGAGGAAGGAACCATGAAAATGAAAAAGGATTCTAAGAAAAAGAGATGACATAGGACACTCGAAATAATGTTAGCTGACTGTGACCCAGGAAAGGTAACTTGAAAGGCAGTGAAAAATGTGTCCATTGGATGTTTGTATTTGGAAGATTCTCCTGGAAGTTGCAAAATTTTAAAAACCAAATGAAACTCCAGTACTTTGGCCACCTGATGTGAAGAACTGACTTATCGGAAAAGACCCTGATGCTGGGAAAGATTGAAGGCGGGAGGAGAAGGGGACAACAGAGGATGAGATGGTTGGATGGCATCACTGACTCAATGGACATAAGTTTGAGTAAACTCCGGGAGTTGGTGATGCAGTCCACGGGGTCACAGAGAGTCAGACACGACTGAGCAACTGAACTGACTGAATGTATATTTCATCCTCTGGCTTCAGACACATTGTGCGGTTCATATAGGATATGTTGATGTTCTGATTTTTAATTGTTTATATCAACCTTTAGCTATCACAAAAGATAGAAAATTTATGTTTTTTATAAATCTTGATAATGTAAACATTGTAGCTAAGTATCTGGAGAGAAGTGATAAAGGCATGGTGGAGAAGGTCTGTCTGCTTGCCAAGCATGTGACTCTGGTTGCCTGTCTCCAGAAGCCGCGGGTCCAAGAAGTTGGCCCCCTGTGGGGTTGGCAGGTGTTGGAGTCCATAAAAGACGCAACCCACACGGCACTGGATAGAACGAACATAAAGAGGGAGATCAACTTCAAAAATGAGTATCAGTCCCAACAACCAGTGAGAGGTGGTCTGCACCCACCCCTATTGTGCAGCAGGGAACAGACCCTGAACCTTCTTGCCTGGGAACAGAGGTTGCAGTGAGATTGACCAGGCGCTTAAGCAGAACAAAGAAATACATGTCAAACCCAGAACAGGGTGAGATAGTCCTGAATAGAGAGCTAGGCCCACACAGGCCATGAGAGTAACTCTATAAAGAGAGATCCCAGGCTTGAGACCCCTTTTGTGGCTGTGCAGGGGTGGAAAGACTGAGCCCCCGAGACTGCCTTTCCCAGCACTCCTGGTCTGCAGCCTCCGTGGAGAGTTTCAAGTGATCCTGTCTAAAGGTTGGGGATCCAAGCTATTAATGTCCTTTGTTTAAAGTAGTAAAAGTACTCAAGTAACTTTTTATGGTTGAATAATTGCCAAGTGAAACTAATGATAATAATGAGGGGGAAGGTATTTTTTTCCTGATGTATGTTTCTTTTTGCAACCTGTTTTGATTTTTTCAACCTTTTCTCCAAGAAAGTAAGGAGAATTTGAACTCCTCTCCCAAGGGTCTCTCGTGCACAAGCTGACCTTGTTCAGCTGTGCCAAGAATACAGAGTCCTTATGCTTTTACCCAGGCTGATTCTCAGCCTGTTTGCAGCAAATGTCCTTGATGAGGTAAGGTCTTCTGATAAGAAGAACAGGTGTGTTTATTGCTTGCTATAAAATGCAGGTTTCCCAAGCTCCAGTTTCCTTGCTTGTCACACAACCCACTGCATGAGCAGGCGTCCCTCCAGCGCCCCCCAGTTGCCACCGATGGACGTGCAAGGTAGTGGGTGAAGCTCCCTGCCACCTGTACCATTCAAGTTACCCCCATTGCCTCTGACTCAGGAGGCCCTTTCTCCTGCCAGCATCCATGAAACAGCAACAAACTAACTTACGTGCTTGTAGATAGAGCAAAATCAAATCCCATACCCAGCAGTTAACTTCTGTAAGGAAACATTTTTAAAAACAAAGAATTAAAAAACGAATAAAACCACCAAAAAATATACACACTAGCGGAGACCATTAAAGGATGAGCTGTAATCTTTCACGCTTCACCAGCAAACAGTTTAAAAGAACCAGGGGAGGAACTCCCTGGCGGTCCAGTGGTTAGGACTTAGTGCTTTCACTGCTGTGAGCCCAGGTTCAATCCCTGTTTGGGGAACTAAGATCCTACAGGCCTCACAGCATGGAGAAAAAAAAAGAACCAGGGGAACAAATCAAAGTTTTAGCAAAGCAGAAAGAATATTTTTTCCCCAGCCTTACTGAGCTGCAATTGATGTGCAACCTTGTGTGAATAGAAGATAAACACCATAATGATTTGTATGTGTATATTTGCAAAAGATAACCAAGGTTAGTGAACACGTCCATCACCTCACAGTTATAATTTTGTGTGGATGAGACGAGAAGTTTTAAGATCTACTCTTAGTATAGCTTTCATGTGTATGTAGCACAGTATTTTTAGCTGGAGTCCCTGTGCTGTCTAAATGCTGTTGACAGTTCAAAGGCCAACAACAGGCCAGATTGTCCGAAAGCCATTAAACCTCTGTAGAGAAGATTGTTTAGCTTCTGAGTCAAGACTAAGTTCAAAGGTCTTTAAGAATACACATCCATTTCTTAAGTCAAAGAAAGTTGTAAAGTTCAATTA